TGAAACCGAATGACCATTAAATGATTCAGTCTTAATATAACCACGATAACAGTATCAAATGTAACATTCACAGTATCAATGTAAACGTTTGATAATAGTAGCAAGTACAATAGAAAGTGATAGTAATTTCTTAGACTGTCAATGTAAAATTGATGTGGACATTGGCTAATGTAATGTAAAGTTAGTGTTGCATTGCTATAGGTACGGATTTTATGCTACAGCATATATGCCGTCTCATTTTAATAGTAAGTACTCCCATGTAAACCTTTACTGTGAATGTCATCATCATCATCATACCTCCGGATTATAAATCCGGTGAGGTACACTTGATAAAGTTACTCCAGTAGTATAGAATAAAGTATGGAGATGATATTAATTAAATGTTAAGGATAGTTATCAATACTCAAGGAGATAAAGTTAGAATGAGGCTAGAATTACTCTAATGCACAAGTATGGAACTTGCACACATGCGTATGTTTTCCTCATCTGACTTAAAATAGAGAGTAAACCGCATGTAAGCCAAATTGATTTGATTATATGGATGACATCATTTCCACATTTTCTTATTTTCCCGTGGAATTGATTTTGAATCCTACGACATTAGTATCATTTTCCAATATTTGTTCGTAAATTTACGTCATATATTTGCCGCTTGTTCGTACGATTTTATTCAGTGGCCTAAAAATCATTCTGGTTAAACGGACGAAAGTTCACGCGCGCGCAGATGTCGTTCATATGATCAAATCAGCATGACCTCAGAGAAACTGCAAGAAAATGGCAAGAAGGATGTATGGAGGAACCTGATGAATGCAGTGGCTCTATGTGACAACTTAGATGTGCAAGCATTGTGTGCAACAAGTCGTTCGGTGTAATATAGTTGGCTGCCGTGTGTCTGTGAATCTGTTGGTTATAACGGCTATACTGGACTTGTTTGTAGAGTATGTAGAATGATGATGTGTGTTATACAATATATGTATCTAATATGTTATAAACCTGTCGATCTTAAGATCTCGCCAGTGTTACTAACGGAAGGTAGCGGATGCTACCTGAAACGTCTGACCATTTCCAAAACCATATCCAGTTGCTTGAGTAACTGCTTTTTGGCGTATCTTATTACCTGGATGTCTAACCTTCATCGACGTATGTACAACATGTTAATACCCATTGAAAGTCAAATTTGCTTCTTAACCTGACATCCTCTTACCTGGAATTACGCATTCTGTATAACCCATATGTGCGCGCTCTCTCTGAGCTCTCTCTCGATATCGATATATGTATATATCTGAGTAAAAAAAGACTGTTCTACGCTTTCTTTCAATACTCGATTATTATACTATTATATTATTAATATACAGCTTCATCAGCTTTATCTCCACACGTTGTAACGTAAGTATGGAAAATATATCAATTTGGCGGTAACATTTACACATTTCAATCATCAAGAATGAAATCTAAATGACTAAAATTTGCTCGAATACAAAAGTATTTGAAAGAATTTTGGAGTGACACTGTGTTTTGTAGTATGTTCGTTTCTTTATTCATTTATGCATAGACAAACAAAACTAAGCTAGGAATAACTAAACTAAGCTAGGTATTACTAATAGTCACATATCTGCTACGCTTACTGTGTTACTTAACGTCGGTTAGTGCTTATTTAATTTTTTTATTGTTACGCCTATATATATATGTCAACGATTGGTTTACTAACCAGCGATATGACCAACTGTTGTATCTGTTATATCAAGATGTCGCCATGCAAAAATATATACTATTATATCCAGCGCACATTATGTACTTTATTCTTGCAGTTCTAGCCTTTGCTTCAGTCCATGCAGGATGAGATATCTTTTTAATTACACTTAATACATCAAATTTGTGTCCAAGCCCTTTCGTACATTTGGCCCAATACCAACATATGAGAACGTGTTTTGAGCTTACTAGCTTGCAGAAAGGTAGACATTAAAATAAACGCTGGAAAACTTACTTACAACAACTTCTGGCATTTCGTTTTCAACATAACAACAAAGCAAATCACTGCTTGTTTCTTCGTTTGTATGTAGGATATATGTTCTTTATGCTGGTTGAAGTACAATATTTCAAAATTGAATGTAAGTACAATGACATATTCAAGAACGATCATATCGCACGATAACTAACGTACCATGACACATTTCATCAACTAGAAAGGTAACATTTGCAAAGCAAATGCACAATGTTTACTTTCACATATGGTCTGCTCTGTTAATTCTTACTCAAACGCATTCATATATATGGTCATACAGGAGTCTAAATCCGTCCTGCTATAAAATTGCAACATGGTGTAACCCAGCACTATAGTTACCGTGGTGACAGACGTCTGGTGCAGGTCATTTATTTGTTTGGAGAAGAAGAAGAAGAAACAGAGCAAACTTAATATTTTTCCTTCGGTAAACATAATAATGAACTGATAGATAACTCGTGTTTAAAGAATGCGTCAATGTCGAACACTAATATCCCTAAGTCTGGAGTGCATCTAGCAAACACGACAGTTAACTGGTCTCATGCTCGATTATATGTTGTTTCCCTAATGAATACGTTTTCATTGTTCTTATAATTGCATGCTGTACATGTATACATCAACATAATGTCTAATGCTCTGATTTATTCTACTAGTTTAGTTTGTCCATAGGAATTTATTTATTCGTTGTTCTCATATAGTTACATGCTGTACATGTATACGTCAACATAATGTCTAATGCTCTAATTTATTCTACTAGTTTAGTTTGTACATAGGAATCTATTTTTATTCGTTGTTCTCATAGTTGCATGCTGTATATGTATACGTCAACATAATGTCCAATTTATCCTACTAGTTTACATGTATTTTGTCCATAGGAATTTATTTATTCGTTGTTCTCATAGTTGCATGCTGTACATGTATACGCCAACATAATGTCTAATGCTATAATTTATTCCACTAGTTTAGTTTGTCCATAGCAATTTATTTATTCGTTGTTCCCATAGTTGCATGCTGTATATGTACATGTATACGTCAACACAACGTCTCATGCTCTGATTTATTCTACTAGTTTAGTTTTTTCCATGGGAATTTATTTATTCGTTGTTATCATAGTTGCATACTGTACATGTATACGTCAACATAATGTCTAATGCTCTAATTTATTCTACTATTTTAGTTTGTCCATAGCAATTTATTTATTAGTTGTTCTCATAGTTGCATGCTGCATATGTATACGTCAGCATAATGTCTAATGCTCTCATTTATCCCACTAGTTTAGTTTGTTCATAGGAATCTATTTATCCATTGTTCTCATAGTTTCATGCTGTATATTATGTATACGCCAACATAATGTCTAATTTATCCTACTAGTTTACATGTAGTTCGTCCATAGCAATTTATTTATTCGTTGTTCTCATAGTTGCATGCTGTACATGTACATGTATACGTCAATATAATGTCTAATGCTCTAATTATTCCACTAGTTTGGTTTGTCCTTAGGAATTTATTTATTCGTTGTTCTCATAGTTGTATGTTGTATACGTCAATATAATGTCTAATGATCTCATTTATCCCACTAGCTTAGTTTGTTCATAGGAATCTATTTATCCATTGTTCTCATAGTTGCATGCTATATATGTATACGTCAACATAATGTCTAATGCTATAATTATTCCACTAGTTTAGTTTGTCCATAGGAATCTATTTATTCGTTGTTCTCATAGTTGCATGCTGTATTCGTCAATATAATGTCTAATGCCCTAATGTATCCCACTAGTTTAGTCATAATTTTCATAGTTGCATGCTATATACGTCAATATAATGTCTAATGCTCTAATTTATCCCACTACTTTTGTTTGTCCAAAGTAATCTATTTATTCGTTGTTATCATAGTTGCATACTGTACATGTATACGTCAACATAATGTCTAATGCTATAATTGGCTATTATATAACTTAGTTTGTACATAGAAATCTTTTACGTATACATAAAAGAGCTGCTCCTTTGACGGATTCATATGTTGGCGATCTTCTTAAGCGTAAGTTCCAGTTTGTCCTCAAGCTCCAATAACTGCATTGCCACCACTTCATCAGTACAGTCTCCATTGACTTTGTATGGACACAAAAAGGAATACCATTAGGAGCCTAAATATAATATGCTCTTAAATAAAGATCTATAAGGCCATGTTGATTTGATTATATGGATGGCATCCGAGCGTTTCCGAGTTTTCGTCCGTTTCCCAAAAAGGTTTTCAACCTTACTGTAAATCGTAAGAAGCAACTGCAACATGAGATATATGCCGTAAGGCCACAGCAAGTAAATTCAATGGATGACATCCTTCGCAGACTCCAAATCTAATGTGATAGGGCGACAAAAAACAAGGCGGACAAAAAACAAGAAACGATACCTATATTGTGTTAAGATTACTGCCAACTATTACAACATCCATTTCTCACTGTAAAACTTTGAAAAATGAAAGTTTAATCATCGTATAAATGGTTTTAATTTAGTGGGAACATCACATATGCACAGTCACCATCACATATGAAAGGAATGAAATATATCACTGCATCAAAGTAAAAGACAAAACATTAAATCAGAGTCTTGTCTTGTCTCCTCTCTTCATATTTATCTGCCATCCACGTTCCGGCATGGCAACAGACGTCTTTGCCCATTTTCGGCATGTTGACCACTGTCAGAGGGCAAAAAAAACTTTTTTTTTCCAAAATCAGGCAAAAATTAATGAAAATGATGACATCCATAAAATATACCTGCTGTGGACAAACTTGTAAAAAAATTGAAAACGATTCTAGCGTATATCGTAGAATGACAAAATCAGTTCCGAAGGAAAAGAACAAAACGCGAAGAAATTTAAATGAACAGTCAAAATGATTCTAAATTTGTGTAATATATTGAGCGTAATATTAATTGTGAACACCGAGACACTTCATGTGGCATACAAACTGTATTGTTACAAATTGAACTGAACTATAAAAGAGATTTGTCGTGTTTAATACCTTTAGGTGGCACAGATGCAGTGTTGATCCCAATAAACTGCAGGAATTTGTTGACCATGAAGTCACCCATGTCGCTATCACCACCGGGCCCACCCGGGTTGCTTTTAGACGTAGCCAGTTGGTCGTCCAGTATGGTCACGAACATGTTGGAGAGAACAATCACTACCGCTACCACGAAACTGGAAAACAAACATGACACTGGAAAAGTAACATTTGTAAAGCAAATGCATAATGTTTACCTTCGGACATGGTCTGCTCTGTTAATTCTTTCTCAAACACATTCACATACATGTACTACTAGTCTATGGTGACAGGAGTAGAGCAGACCATGAAATTGCAACATTATGTGTAACCCAACACCAGTCACCATGGTGACAGACGTCAACAAATCATGTCAGGTCAGGGGTCCCTGTTTGGAGAAGAAGAAGAGGAAGAAACTAAGCAAAAACAATATGTTTTCCTTCGGTAAACATAATAAATGGTAGTAGTGACAAGTTTTATTGCCCACCATTCACCACAATTGAAACGATAGATAGAGTTCATTCCAAGTCACCAAGAGGGTTTTTATATAACAATGAAATGAAATACCTTTATTGTACATTCATGCCACGACGGGCTAGGTACAGGTCAAGACTTAACAGACATATGACAAACGTACTTAGAAAAGTGTATACACTACTTGGAATAATTTTGTTGATATTTCGTAAACATTTTGGAAGTGCCTGTAAAAATATATTCTACTTAGAATGCCTTTCACTTTTCTAAATACTTTTAAAAAATTGCAACCGGTGACATTTCTTAGACAAACACAAAGAATAGAAGGAACTTCAAAATAATGGCAATAACAAACTTGACTTGGAATTGGCTCTAGATTGCGCGATGGCTTCTAATATACATCTGAAACTTGATCAAATGAACACACAAAAAATAAGAAAAACGTTCAAATTGGTAAATACAACCAAGGATGTTATAATGAAGGCAGACTGGAAAACAAAGTACAGTAGGGGCAAACTACAACAGAAGTTAGATGCAAAGGGTAAAGTTGGACAGGTTGTTTGACGTAATAACTGATTGACAACACTATGCTTAGTACAGGTCACAATAAAACATGACTAACAGATACGATAACAGATAACAAATAAAAAAAGTAACATTTGCAAAGCAAATGCATAATGTTTACCTTCGCATATAGTCTGCTCTTTTAATTATTACTCAAACACATTCATATATATGATCAGACAGGTGTCTAAATCCCTCTTGCTATAAAATTGCAACATGATGTACCCCAACACTAGTTACCATGATAACAGGCAGTCTGGTTCAGGTCATTGACCTTTTTGGTTTGGAGAAGAAGAAGAGGAAGAAGAAACGTAGCAAAAACAATATGTTTTCCTTCGGTAAAAATAATAAAGCTGTCATTAGGTGTATTCAATTTCTCCTCGCTTTTTAGTTATAGCAGAGAAAGTTTTTCGATGGACGGTTTGTCTAGTTGCATTTGGAATATGAACTTTTGGTTGAATACACAAGTAGCTACAAAGCTAGAGTGTTAGCTGAAGGGTGGATATACCAATATACTATGATATGGATACAGCTACAGATCTAATAAACAACACAATTATGGCTATACACCTTAGGAAGTACAGCCGGCTGATGAAGACATGACCTGGGGACATCTCATGGTCGTAGTTTATGTTACCGAACATCTGGAGAAGCAGAGTCTTGGCGGATGATGGAAAAGACATGTAGTTTTCAGCCTCAGCTCCAAACACCAGAAACCCTGTGGTGCTGAACGCTGGACAGTGGACAAGATGAACATGTAGTAGTAAAAAGTTGAACTTTACTTCAACACAAAGTGACACAGAGATCAAATTTTCAACGACCACTGCCGAATTCATCAGGATAATTGATGACCAATCAATTAAAAACTTAATCTCGCGAGAGTTATGGTTACAGACACGTGACACGAGACTTTACTTATGCGTGACGTAAGCAATTGATCAAAAGTGCCAGGGAGTTTATATCGTCCACCGTCTCTTTTAAGTAATAGCTGGGGTGCCCTGATATACATGACCTCCTTAATGCCTCTTAAAACATGCCGATTCTACTGAGAAGCACCTTTATGCAAAGCCACGTCCTAGTGTCAGTATATTCACTGCAAAAAAATTAATTCTCTAAGCACGCCTAAAAACATCCGCAAAGGTTCCGTTTGTTCCCCGCGCGTGTACCTTTACGTATGCTTTGAGTTGTGCTTAAAGGTACAATTTCGTGCAGTAATTGTATCTAAAACCGCGTCGTGTACTTGTTTTAGAAATTGCCATGCTTTTGAAAAGTACGAAAGAAGAGCATAATAACTTCAAATAACTTGTTACTTTTGGGCATTGGGCATGCCTGGGCCGCGATAACATCTGATACGGGTGTTTCGGCATCACATTTTAAAACAAATGTAAAAAATGGAGGATTCTGTGAAATTGAATTTTTTGTAAGCAGTTTTGTAACCAGTCAATTAAAATCCGTTTTGTGTTGACGATATAGGTTTGAGTCAAGATTTGAAATTGCTTTGTTGCTATTGCTTTCTGAACACACGAGGGGTGAACCTCTAAGTAATAAGTCGGTACAAGCATGTTCAGAAAAAATTTGGAAATCAAACATGGATCCTACTGAGTTCTGTACATTTCTGAGCAGGGTCACTCTTTGCTGATCATACAGAGCCGTGTAAAAGGAAATGCACAATATTTATACATCATATATATATTCATCATCAGGTTGAAGCACTGAATGGTAAAGTTTAACACTGACATCGGGCATAAGCATTGCGATTAGTGGTTCAAAATGTACACATACTAACATGTTGGCAGAAGGCACCCACCTGCAAGTATGAGCAGAAACATGAGGGAAAAGGTGGCGATCTTATGAGCTGCATTTCGTAGCGTGTGGAAGAATACACCGATGAGGCGGTTAAAACTTAGGAGTGACATGAACTGAAGCGTCGTGACGAAGACGAGGATGGCCAGGAATGACGTGAAGACGTCGCTGACGATCGCGATGCTGCGGAAGCTGATGAAGTGGCCTGTCAAGAAGAAAGAATTTTATGTCTCATAAAAAACACATGGTGGTAGGATTGTATATCATGCCATGTTAATTTGATTATATGGATGACATCCTTGGGGGGGGGGGGCAAAACTGATGCGAGCGTGCGAATAAAAAAATTTTAGGCAAGAATTGCCTACTTGACTGTACATTATACAAAGATGAACGCCAAGAGCTATTCGATACTTTACAATTAGACAAGTTATGTAAGAAAATGTCAAAGCTGGACATGTTTAAACACTTAATGTCATACAAGAACGAATGTACACTAGACAAACTATATAATTATGTTTCCAAATGTTTCAAAAAGAGAGAAGAAAGGGCAACTAACAGTAGATGATAGATAGGCTATAGTATTATTGTAATGTATAGATTCCTAACACTTTGCATTAGAATATAGCGTACCAGTATGAAATACTCATGTTTTACATACTGGATATCCTCTTGTGCATTTGCCCATCTGAGCAAGAACATGCAATAAAGATTCATATCATATCGATATCATTATGAAGTCTACGTGTTCATAAAGGCTGAACACCACACAGAGTATGGTATGGAGAATAAGACACTCTTCATTTTCATTTCTTCACATTTTTTCCTTTTTCTTTTGAATATATTTAGATTTCTACATTACTAAGTTTTCCAATATTTTTTTCAAATAATGGCATATATTTGCTCATTTTGCAGCTGCTTTGTACGATCTACAGTATGGTCGAAAACTTTATTTTGGAAACGGACGGAAAGTCATGCGCACGCGGATGTCATCTATATGATCAAATCAACATGGCCTCATTCATTAAAGCTACCAAAGCCTTAGAAAATGTACGGATGGCTGTGAAATTAAATACTAGTAGTCTCATCCCATTCTACAAAATGTACATTGTCTGTGGACGAGTGTATAGTGGTTCCGTACATTTGTTGTTGACCAAAAGAAGTTGCCATACACTAATTTTAGCTGTAGAGCAATTACGCTATCTTCAATGTAATACGAGATTTACTTAAAAAATGGTAATCATGACAAATCCATCGAATCATCTTTTATTCAACACCATTTATGATACATCAACATGAAATATAAACTGGCTATGAGAAATTCGTAAAGTTATCATTCAATACAGCACCACATCTAAAACAGCAACACAAATGTGTTATGGTTAAGTAATATGAACTGATACCTTCAACATCTTTTAGCTGGTCAACGTAGTTGCCTCGCATAACCTCTTTGGCAGCAAACAGTGCCATGACTGCAATGCACATGAGGAGTCGTAGGAATAATAGCCAGTTCCAGGGCTGGCGGAAATATCCCTTCTTCTGATGCGCCACTTTCCTACTCTCTCTGATCAGCGACAGTACGAACAAGATGACAAAAATGATCTGGGCAAAAGAAGATCAGGTTCTTGGGTAAGTGGACTTCCTTTAAAACATCTTTCGCACATGTTGTGTCAATTAAGGTCTTTGTTGTAAAACAAAGAAAAAGAAGATCATATTCTTGGGTATACGTAAGCGGATTTTTCTGTAACTCTAGCAGACATCTGCAAAAAGATAAAGAAGATCATACCCTTAGGTAGGTGGACATTTCATGTAACTCTGGCAGACATCTACTACTTTTCCCCTCTTTTCTTGTCTTCTCTTTTACGCATCAAATAGATACAAACGGTAGGACAGCTTTCGTAACCCTGGTGTAAGTTTACAGACACGTTACAATATTTCGGGCCTCCTAGTATTATTGTAACAGTACTTATGTCCTACCCGGGCCGGGATTACGTTCGATACGGGTGTTCCGGCCCGTGTGATAACTAGCGGTACGGCCCGGGGGTTCTTAACGCGTACAGCCCGGCCCTTCCGGTCTTCCGACGCGCGGTCGGGCTGGTACCTCGGGCGATACGGAATACACCGTGTTGTATTCTATATATATCAGACACTTTGCTTGTCTATGATAAGACAAGAATTTGTGGTTTTAGCCACTGACTATTGCTTCAGCACTTTATCCCCGAAAACAGTATTATCATAATTTCGTATCATACCAGTATGCATGCCAAGAGTGGCACCCGGGATATTACAGTTTCTGAATGCCAGTCAATAGAGAGAGTACAGAGGAGAGCATGTAGAATCATTCTTGGACAGAACTACAGTAGCTACATCATCATACCTGAAATGCTATGTTCAGTTGCCCCGACGTCCCTACGTAAGAATACAACTTGAACATGTGGATGTTTTGGGACGTTTTCGCTCCGCGACCTGCTACAAACTCTAACAGAAGGGTGATCACTGCAAATAGGTTGGCGTTGGCATTGTATGCGTTTATCTCGACCGCTATCGCTTCTGTAAAGACATCCAGCCAACCATGCTCCTGTAGATGGTTCATAGTGAGGACGGCCTGACGAGCATCGGTGCCGATTGTGAACATGTACGCTCCGTCAGTGTAGGTGCCCACACGCCCACTGTACGGAAGAGACGATCCCGGTGTGAAGACCCAGGGTGACATCATAGAACGTGCGAAGCTTGATGTACTGTTATCAGACAGCGAGCGCCACCCTACGCCAAACTCCGCGTCTTGATACTTTTGCAGGGAGTAGTCTGTCTTGCAGTGCGGAAAGGTAGCAACACTAGTTCGGCAGATACCTATGTGCAGACAAAAATGCCGTAATGGTTGTTGAGCGCAACATAACGAAACTTATACAATAGCATAGGATATCATACAGGTATTGGTTATTTTAGTGGGGTCGTGTGGCGCAACGGCTCGGAACCAAGTGGTCGACTCAGAACCAAGAGGTCCCGGGTTCGAGTCTCGACATGCCACTGATGTTGTGCCCTTGGGAAAGGCACTTTACACGACTTTCATCACTTAACTTCATTAAATTTTCAATTAATATTTTCTGTCCTGTATTTGTTTCTATGTGTGGGACACAACACCAGCAATAGCTGCCCATGTCCCACTTGTATTGCAATTTCAATAAATATGAAATATAAATAAAAAATCAATCAATTTGGTTATTTTTTTTTACAATACCTTGAACCTTGAACTATTAGGATTTACTAGCGGTACAGCCCGTACAATGCAGTGCTGGGCCGGAACACCTGCATCGAACGTTATTGCGGTCCCGGTATGACATAAAAAATACAACCATAATACCTTGCCGACTCCGAAACTGTTTGATTGCAGCAACTCCAACTCTGTACGACTGGTCATCGAGCAGCTTGCTGCCAGACCGAGCAAACAGACCCTTTTGCAGTTCAGTGTAGGACCAGGTCCAGAACTTGTCAAACGTATGAACCTATGACATAAAATTTTATAGTCATATTCAGAGCAATGAGATATAAGCCAAAGAAATGAACAAAAAGGGTGCCCCAAAAGACATCCAAACGCAATGCAATTTCAATAATTTAAAAACAAAAATATTCTAGATAAGGAAATTTGTCTGATATAACATTCACTGTCATGTCTCGTTGAAATAGACCAAAAACAAGCTGCGTGATGCGCCTTTTATACCGTCAATAAATAGCTAGAACCAGTTTACGATAAAAAAAAACAAGCGACCGTTTTCTGTCAGTGACATCGCATTTTTGCAGATATCAGCATGCTATGGGGTAGAATTGTTTCAACGTACTACATCAAATGTGCATATTTAGAAATTTTCACAGCCAATATTCTATTAACTCATCTACATACAAGTTGAGGCGACGTCCCAATATATTAATGGAACATAAATACCGAAGAACGGTTACTAAAGGGATCCCGGGCTGATTTTTTGGGTACCACCAAAAAATAATGGATTAATATAGGGCCGGGCTTGTTTCTGTGCTGTTTTAAACGCCAAAAGTATGAAATACTGATGCAAATGTGTTAATGCGTGGGGCAGTATGTGTCAACGTCATACATATTGAGACTGAGCAAGTATAAAAGAAACACGTATAAAATCCTCGTCTTTTCCGTTTTTTGGATAGGCCGACTACTTCCCGACAGCACGTTTGATCAATTGCTGGCGTCAAGTCTCGTGCGATTTAGGTCACGTGTCTCTGACCGAAACTCTCGCGAGTTTACGTTCGGAAGTGATTGGTCATTCATTATAATGATGAAGACAACAGTGGTCGTTCGAAATTCGATCCATGTGTACTCTTTGTGTTGGAATAAAGTTGAACATTGTACTATGATTACTAACAATAAAGAATATTGAATAAAGAATAAAGGACATGAAAAACAACGCAGATGAGCTTGATACTATATCACACAGTAATAAAAAGGCTCAAGATTACCTTTCTGAATGTCGGAAACCGAGATTTGAGTGATTTCTCCATGTAGTACCCTTGGGTGTCCATGCTGCTAAAGGCCAGGTAGAACACCACGGCTACGGCGAGAAAGTGTTTAAAGACGTCCCAAAGGATCGTGCTCATCCGAAGTTCATTCAGTCGCAAGGCGCGCGCCGTGGCCAGGTCTGCTGCTCTGCTGGCGGCTGATGATGAGTGCGGCATTGCTGGAGCTCGTACATTTTCTGCAAAAAGCAATTTTAACAAGACTGGCAATGAAAGCATACATTGCCATGGCGACGGTGGTTATTGTTAGGGTTATTGTTTGCATGGCACTACCATCATTTGATGATTTTGAGGAAGACTTGGTAAATGTTAAGTCTAGACAGATACAGTGCACTCCTCCCCTGAGTATATAGTGAACAAGCCCCGGGGTTACAGAAAGCAGGGCCATCCGGGGCAGACAGGTCTTCCCAAGGGTTTCCAGGAATGTGGGCATAGATGTGGGTCAGAGACATGCCTGTGGACATTCCATTCCTGTGGACAAAATGCCTGTACCATTCCTAGAATTCTTGCAAACTGCACACAATACTGTACCATTAGGCTCCTCCCTGAGACGTCGCCAAAAAGGCTAAGACCAGAGTAAGAAACTTGATGGTACACACACGAGAATGTTAAGAGCAGTGTATAATGTACCATAGAGAAAACATATCTAACAAGGAGAAGTCGTAGACATCGTCCCTCCATGAAATAGCTTGTTATTTTGTAATCTTTTGGTGTATTTTAATAGAGATATTATGAGTCAAACTTTGTTTTTATCAGCAGAATGATAGATGTCTATAGATGTCTATCCTTTAAGAATTTTGTTGTGGCACTTCGTATTGGAAGGGGTTGCCCAAGCTGTCATGTGCAGGCGTTTAGTGTCTTGTTACCATGGTTTGTTTGAGGTCAATGACCTCTCAAGCACAACATATTAACAAACCACAGATGACCCAGTTCCCTGCTGAATGACCGATTAAAGATAAGATATATTTCCTGCAGAGGCGGTCTGGAGGTAAAAATAGATTGGCCTGACCTGCCAGCTGGCCGGAGGTATAAACAAAAACACTCTGTACCAATTTGGGGTCAAACAGACCATCCTATTATGAAATAGGGGTGAAAATGTGAAAATCCTTTTAAATAAGCAATGCAAATCTACGACAACCTGCTAATGCACGCTAAAACGCAAAGACAATCAGCGTCTACCCACATACCAAAAATGATCGCCAACCATCCACCGGGTTCTGAGATCATTCAACGCAAACAATCTGACATTGAGATAGCAATTCCGGTTCAAAGCAAACAGCTAGGGGGCCCAAATTTACATCACTAAACCATTGTAACCACAACTACATGCTACCTTAGCATCGCACACACAGACCATAACGTGCCAACAATAGAATAAAAAAATTAAACTGCAGTACCAAGGTCAATCACCAGGTGCTCAAAGTCAACCTACACAATCTCCAAGGCCCCATCCATCAATCTGCCAAATATCATACAGTTCCTTCTCACCGATCTTCAGATATCAGACCAAACATGAAACGGAGTAAAAACAATACCCCCCATTTACATGGAGGGTAACAAGCAAACAAACAGCCCTATGGCTCTCTCTCCAACCCATTTCGTCAGTAGTGCGATGACGCAAGCTTGCCCTGGCAGGACAAGTCGTTCGGACAAACATGCCGAGAGGCTAATTCAGCGGTAACTCACTAAAAATGCAGGATTTGAAGACCACACACTTTATTGTCAATGATTGAAAGAGACATCAGGGTCTGCCCTGGTGTCCGCCGTCATGAAGGACAAAAAAGGTATACGGACGGTATAACCTCGACCAGTATGTTCGACCGATGAGGATGTGTTTGTGTTTATTGGTTTATTTGTATCAACAACAGCATGACTAGCCGCCGTGACCTACTGTACAAGCCTGAATGCTTGTTTACAACATAAATAATGAATAGTAGGGTCATAAAAATGATATGAATACAAATTGCGATCACGTCTGAATCATCAGATTAAACATTTTGGCTCAATGAATTTAATAATACCTTGTATAACTTATAATAAGGTTATCAACATAGAAGTACAGTCATCATGAACCAGTTCCTGGGTTACAATGAAGTAACGGTCCGGCAAACTTGTGGTACTATTATATTTTGGTACTGTTTAGAAGAGACGCTATGTAAGGGATTGGGCTTTTTTGTATCTATCAGTCCTAGTGTTGATAGTGTCTATGAGTTGAGAAGTTCTCGCCACGGTGAGGTCATAGCCACTTTCTGAATTTTTGATGGATGATGACGATGAAGCAAGAACACTTACTAGCATCTAATGGTGCAGGTAGAAACTCCTCGTCTTCATCGAGCGCGTCTTCCTCCATCCCCTCTGCCTTCCCGATCTTCTTATAGATGAACGCAATGATGACGGCAAACAGTAGAACCTGGCAAATGATGACAGGTTGTGTGAACTTTCATACATGTAATATATGTAATGTTGGCAGATAGAACTTCAACAGATATCAATTATGCAAATGATGACCTAATTTGCATAATTAATGCAAAAATTCTATGATTTCTTAATGGTGAATGATGGCAATTCTATGCCTTGTGACATGTGTAGGTTACTTAAATGTTAGCAACACCATGCATATATTATGTTAATATAGAGGTAATTTGCATAATTAATGAGGACATGTTCAAATGAAATGTTGGCAAAGGATAGGAGTTTGACACGCAAAATATTGTAAGTTGAGTTTAGAATACCATAAATTAAACTAAATCATATTAATTGCCACCTTATTTCCATATTCAATGAAACAAATCATTTACATAAACTCTACATATTTCATGGAGGTATGAAATCTCCGAATTCTTGTTAATTTTGTATTTCGTTCATAAACATTGATAGGCGAATTCAATTCCATTATCAACATTATCAACATCATTTGTCATATTTACTTAGTTTGTTTTCTGTACTTTATTAGTGTGGCCTAAATCTGGTCAGACTGCTCCCGAACTTCAGTCAACCTTGGTCGGCTGATGTTCGGGGAAATGTTATGAATGACATAAGCTACGAATAATATGAGGACATAATCTATGGTTTCGGTATTTGTAGGAGAACCCTCTCAATCACAAAACTGAAAGCGGAAAACAGATAAAATACCTTGAGTGGTTGTACAAGAAGGACAGATTGGAAGATGGAGAGTAGAATTGACGTCAGCCACTCCCCCGACTTCTCCGCTCCCCACTCCATGCTGTAGAGGATGACGAAGAAGGCCGAGCCTGTTGCAGACAGGAAGACCAGAACCCAGCCGATGTACACACACCAGTGAGGCAGGCCCGACTGTTTCCTCTCCTTCGCCTCCCGGACAAAACTGCCCTTCACCTGATACTCAATGAAAAAAAGTTGAAAATGATAAATCGATGTATTCTTTTTTGTTGAACAGCCAGATAATTAAGGGTTAATGACCCGCCCCGAGGTGAATATGGTGTGATAAAGCCTTGTCAGTTGCTACATGTATAACCACCGAATAAAGCCACCAAGTGAGCGCAGCGAACGAGGTGGCTTATCACACCATATTCACTGAAAAAGGGCGGGCCATTAACGCTATTATCATATAGCTTACACGATAGCCTATCCAAACTGATGCAGTAAGTGACACAATGTACAATTTACCCGTTGCACATGCTGAATAGAACGTAGTTCCATCTGGAGTCACCTGAGGTCACTGGGTAGATTTCACGTTCTATGTCTTCTATCTGGGTCACAGGCAAGGAACAGGTGTTCTTATGGGAGTCACCCGAGGTCATTGGAACACAACTCAAGTTATTTTTGGATTTTTTAGAACTAGAGCCGTATTCTATTGGGTCACCTGAGGTCATATGCGGGTGATTATTGGGTTTGTTTAATGTATGGATTGGGATGAATAAATACCCGATTTTGACTCTATTTGTGACATTACGGCGTCATAAGGAATGTGGAATGGAGCCTTCTAATGTTGCATAATTAACGTTATTGTTATAATTATAGGTTCATTGAATGATTGCTCCCAAAGCAGCTGATCACACGCCCTACCTTTGACCTACATTTCTGTGTTATCCAGCCGCTCTGGGTAGGCAAGACCGAACAACTCAGATCTCTTATTACGTCCACTAAACTGGTAAAGATAAAGAAAACTGGGCCAAAATAGGAACGTTTAGACCCTACCTATCCTGTTCCTTTTATAGCCCAAAAGTCTCAACACTGGACCAAAGTTTTTAAGAAAAAAAAGGATTTTTAAGGGCATTGACAAGGAAATACATTCGTATTCCCATGTTTGGCCCTACACTGCGCAAGGCAATGGTGCCTTCAGTCCTTTTGGGATAGGCTAATAGCAAACGTTAAGATAAAATCAATAGTAAGCAATAAAAGTATGTTGGACATATGGACAAACATGTGACAGCACGTAGTTCTAAATCAGTAAGGTCTGCATTTTCCACAACTTACCAATATTAACACTCAAATTATATAAGAGCATTCTTAACAGGGTGGAAATAATCTGTTGTCATAGCATGAAAATTCATCTGTATTGAAGTCATTATGAAATAAAGACTAAGCTTTCTTTCCAACACTGAAATAAATTAGGGACTTACACGGCTGACTCCTTCAACCTTGTTTGTTTGTTTATTTAACCAGAGAAACATATCGCCCTGGAGGGCGGTTTTCAATGCACCATGGGGGGCAATCCCCCAAACACAATAAAATAATAACAATATAATACAACACAAAGTAATCGCTGAAGAAACTTATGTACAATCAAGGGGCAAATTAAAATAAAGTAACTTAAGCACGAACTTAAGTAACAGAAGAATAAGCCGTCCAAAATAGGCATACATCAAATAATATCAAATCAATCATACAGAAATCAAATAAATGATAATTGAAAGATTGAAATTTGCATATCAATGTAAAATTGGCAGGCGGTCTTGTTTGTATATTTATTTGAAGCGTCTACTGTTGACGGGGGCGACACAAGTTATCTGGCACGTATGACCTGCTACTACGATCACGTGTCTATGACGTCACGTTCCAAGAGTAGACGGGTCCACTCCATTAACAAGGTTGAAGGAGTCAGCCAAAAATTCCTTATGGCTGACTCCTTATGGCTGTCCTTAATTCATTCCAGTGTTGAGAAGACAAACTTAATCTTTATTTCGTTATATATTGTCATAATTGTACTAGGTGTGTTCAATGGAAAGATTCTAACCTTGGATGCGGACTCGGGAGTCGTCTTACGTCGGCGAGGGCGGGACTTTGTAAACACGTACACAATCACAAAGTTCACCGGGAAGACGATAATCGTGCTAACGAAGCTGATCCACACTTGAGACAGGGTAAACACCAGAGGACCCAATCGGTACACCTGTCACATAAGGCAGTAAATATATTATGAAGAAATACACGCATTGTTGAAATAGTTACCATAGAGAGAACATTATCTATGGCCGTGTTTATGTGAAGTCAGTGAAGGCGCTTTACGTGTGGTTTACCCTGAAGCCGGTTTCAAGTGGCTTCATCTGAACGCTCCAGATCACATTGAATGTACCTCGATCCCAAGCCACTTCTAGGGGTGATATTTCTTTATTTATATGCAATACCAACTTTTACGTGGCAGCAACTCAAAGAGCAGTAATGGTCAAATAATGTGTCCGTTCTAGGGCGAGCTTCACCGCCTCTGGCGGGACCACGTCGGCATTCGGCCGAGATACGCTGGGAGGGGGGCATCAGCAAGCAGGTCGTTGACCTCTCACATTAATAACACGCCACCTTGCGTGTTATCATCAAACAGCAATAAATGTAGCTCAAACGAATTGTGATCGGACACGGTTTCACAGGAGTGTGTGGCACGTGGACCAGATGTGAGGAATGTGAGTTACCCGATTCGCGGTTTGGGTGACTTCACATAAACACGGCCAAAGTCCATCTGTGCAGGTGCATTTCAGGCGACAAAAAAGAAATATGAAGAAATCTGTCTGATATTAACATTTACTGCCATTGCACATTGTCGTCATTATTTCATTCTTGAAGCGTTTGAAGTAGCCCGACAACAAGCTACGGGAGGCGTCTCTTTTATCTTTTGGGGTCCACCCATGAATAGCTATATAGCTGAATAGTGCTTGGGACTCGTTCAACATTTGACCAGTTCTCTTGCCTTATTCAGGAGTACTGAGAACCCGGTCGCTCAGTACAAGTCACTCTGGCAGTGATACAGAGGTGACGCACAAATTGCCTTATAAGTGGCCATAAAATTATTTTTTGCTAACGAACTTTGAAATCTTTTTGGAGGGGCATTTCGGTGAACTTTAATGGTGGATTGTAAAGTGTAGTAGTGCTTTTAGTACAAGCATATGTTTTTGCAAAAATTGAATTTTCTTACATGTGTGACCTACATCTGTGATGCTGTCTTGCTGGTAGCTTGGAATCGTCTCGGAACAAGGGGTCAAAGTTGACCCATGTTGACTGGCAATATCTTGTGAATGGCCGTACAGAATTTCCCGAAAAGGTTTGTAAATACATAGGCTAGCACATGAAGGTGAGTGCTTGCGACCAATTCTGACAGGAGAGATATGATGCCCTTGCTTTGCCTCTTTTTGCATAGGTTTCAATGCAGACGACCAACTGTCGCGTCTCCCCTAGAGTTAAAGGTGGCTGGAAGTCTGTACCTTCCCCCGGCTTGGTCTAATGAGAGCTGCATGCTCCGTTATTGAAGTTTCACAACATAAAATTCATCAACCTGTTGTTTGACGCTGTCGTCCGTCCGATAGAACATGGCGTTAGTGATCATGGTGAGGAAGACCAGAGACAGGCAGCAGGAGGCCCGCTGGACACGGGTGAAGTGACTTCGGGTGGGACGGGAGGCCACGGAGAACCACAGGTGACCATCGCTGTTGGAAATACAAGATGTTAGACTGTTATACAGTTAGACTGTCAATGAAGAACAAACACCCAGCTAATAAGATACACCAATAAGCAGTTACCCTAGCAACTGGATATTATTTTGCAAACGGCCAGACGTTTCAGGTAGCATCCACTACCTTTTGCTAGCGACACCGTTGAGATCAACAGATTTATAAACCGCTTTTAACCTGTTTCAACAGGCCATCGCTGTGGGCAGCAGATATTGACTGAGGTGGCCTGAGGCTAGAGGAGACGACGCCCGAAGGCACGTTTCGACTGAATATTTCACATGTAAAAAGCTGTTACAAGCTAGAAGTAGCGACAGAACTTAAGATTTCTGAACATGCCAACATTATTCAAATCAGACGGATGTGATAGGCGGTAAGATGTACTAACATGCACATGTACTAACATCTCCATACTAAATTTCAGGTCATTCGGATTCATAATACCAGGGCTCCCGATTCCCAAATATACATGTTTGGCTAAAAATAAAATAAAAACTCAATGAAACAATTTTACAAGCCTGTAACAAATAATCTAAAAAAAAGTCTGAGTATATTTGGCCACTCTACCCCCATGCCAAATTTCAGGTCATTGATCTAATGACCGTCATTCGGCCAACAATTAAGAAATTGAATCCATTTAACGAAATGGCAGGAAAATGAGAAACACGAGGGAAAACAATATATTTCATCCATATTTACTGAAATATAAATCGCGGGCGCTACCAGATATAGACGTCATTAATGACACCTAAACAAAACCATGGAGGTAATAACGATGATTCAAACCTTATATCCTTACGGGTTTTGTCATGAAAAACCGACGAGAAGTTGGTGAGTTCATCGCGTCCGGCTGCGCTCAGGAATCGGTCCACCTTCCCATCCTCCATCTCTACTGCCAGCCAACGTTGGCAGAAGAACACGTATCTAGAAAAAACAATAACAAGGGAAATCGTAGATTTCAAACCTCCGGGTTTTTTTTTCCATTGGTTTAGGTTATTTGTTTGGGTGTAGTATGAAAGTTATGTGCGTAATATGTTTGTATGCCGGTTTGATGGCTACTGACGGTTGGTTCGGTATGGACTGTTGATTAACGCAGTGTTCGAAATACTTTTTTGAGCAAAGTAGCACAGTGTGCTACCTAGGGCAAAAACTAGGTAGCGCAGCAGAATTTTAGGTAGCGCCACGCCCCCCCCCATTTGTCAAATTCTATGCACGTGTCGCAATACTATATTTCTTCCAATCATAGAGGTATAATACCTCCATGCTCTAATAAAGTTACTATTTTTGAGGTTTCAACTCTGAAGTAGGAGCTCTGGGTCGAAGCCAAATTACGGGTGCGTGATTTATTCTGGTTTTCTACTGAGAAAAATCGGGACAGTATTTGCGCCGGGCAGCCGGCCATGTACGCGAAATGGTACGCCCAGTATAGCAGCGATCTATTCATGTTTTATGTTTACAATTGTGCAAATTTTTTTTACAGAAATTTGATCACATATGCTTAGAAATATTGTTATACTGATGTTAAAAAATATTTTAAGACACTGAATCGCTGGCTGTGATGTGCAGCAGTGTACGTACGCCGCGTAGCGTGCCAGACATTGGCCGTGCAAGCCTATAGAATGCCCCACTTGCGACATATTAAAATTTCTGAGGCTTATCGTGCGTATCCACAATTATTCCCACCGTAAACATAGTCACTGGGATCTGAAATGCATACATACAGGATAATTTCCCTTCTTCAGCGGGAGTTTTGTTTATGTTTTGATCGTTCACGTCAAACTGCCACGCTGGTCTACGCTGCGCGCTGGTTTTCGGCTGCACTTCCGGGTTCCATAAATCGACACCATAAATCGACAAAGAAACAAATATTTCCCCCCAAATTTATATTAATTGTGCACTTTTTCTACTAGATGTGGCGTATGCAGTCCTGGAAAACAGCGTTTAGTGCATATTTTCAAACAGAAAAATCGCGTCCCCGCGCCCTTCATGTTGCCGCCCGGCGATCTCAGCTGAAGCGAACAACCAATCAGAGACGCGTAACGCGGATACGTCATGCAAGATTTGCATACCGCCCGCCCACCGCTTCTGCTGGCTGCTAGCTACGCTCCGTACTTGAAATAAATTGACGTGTATCGCCGTATTTCTGGAAATAAATGCCGCGACACGAAGATCTAGCGCTGACTCGGCTTACACCCAGCGTTCAGCGTCACCCGCGCCATTACCCCCGCCGTCATCCCGCGCCGTCATTGCTGCGCCGTCACCCAACGTTTTTATCGGAAGCAGACACCCCTCTGTTTGACCCCTTTTGAATGGTAAGACCCAAAACTGAAACCTCCCCATTCCTTAACAACATGGTAAATTCCATTTTCAGCATGGCGGGGGTGTCCGGAGCACTTAAAAACCTTTTATTTCGACGCCCATAAACACATATGCAATTAAACAAAAACGTTCTGCATCATCTGCAGCCCAACAGCAATACGTATACCGAACCACAGACAAATCCGTCCAGCCGATCGCGAGAAACAGCTGCTGACAGAAATGTTTCGAACAATAGTAAAACCTCCTCGCGGAAGGATATCTCCTTCCCCGGAGGTAAAAATGATATCTCAAATCGAAAAAAATGGAGTAAGACATTTCTTAATCACTACAAGATTGAAAGGATGCCAAAAGTACTTATCCTTTAAAGCTGCATTGTGTAACATTAGGACGATACTAAAAGTTTATTTTCTGGTCATTTCTTTACAGGGTGAGTTGAATCAACGTTAACCTACTCCATTGCAAATAACTGTCATTCAGGAAATGGATGTGCCATACTATGGCGCCTTACGACTTTAAATAATTAAAGCTGAAAACACAGCTATGAGCCATGTTTGTTTACATTCTGATTTTTTGCGCCTCGTGTGGGCTGTTAAGAGGTAATTGAACAATATGTTGAAAAGATGAAGCATTTCAATTTTTGGTGCAAAAAGAGTTACATAATGCACCTTTAAGGACACTTAGCTAACATCAATGAAATAAATTTTATGCTATTTTATAATTATCAAAAAGTTATCCAGTGCATCTAGCTTTTGTAACCATGATTATATAGCACGCACCGTTTGTTTCTGCGTATGTCTCCAACGACTATCCTATCAAGGAACCAGCTGGCATCGCCCCCTTCCCCAGAGTTGTCGTGCCACACGTGAACATTGGTCAACTGTCCGAGGTTTTTAGCCGTGGACAACAGAAAACTGCAGATATTACCGCGCTGAAAAACCTGTGAGGACGGAATCTTATTATATAACATTTTAACTGTATTCATTGCTACTAGTAGCTACTGATTTTAAAGGCATCAATTGACCACCGAAAATAATTTCATCAGGTTGGTAGTTTGAACATCCCCTGTAATGAACCGGGACGAGGGGGAGTACAAACCCAGCCACGTTTGGGACAGAGTTATCGCCACAAAAGCGCCACCTACATCGGCTACATATAGCGGCGAGATGCAGAACTCCAGTCAGAAGCTCTGAAGAAGGTGTCTGACAGACACCGAAACGTCAGCAAGGTGAAAATTTACCGGTTGTGTAAAAAGAAATACCTATCTCCTCATCAATTGACCACTTCTGAGCTACATCAATAGACATGTGACTCTGCCAGAAGATTTCGGTGGATGTTTATTTTGAACGCTTGAGGATTTTATTCGAAGGAGAAGCATTTGTTTTTGGAGGAGGTTCCACAATTTTTCAGCCCTGAGAAAGAAACTGTTGCTGTAGGATGACTTTGAAACAGCAATTTGAACGGTGTAATGATGTGAACTGTAGGAGAACCTATTTGCATGCTTAAAAGATCTCATTGTTTGGACGAGTATTGAGTACTCCTTTTGAACAGCACCCGTGAAAACATCTATAGAAGAGGGACAGGGACGCAAAGATCCACCTGTGTGACAGTAATTTCAGCTTTATTTTGCGGCCAGATGATAGCCAATGGCCACACAGATTCTCCTTTAAATGTGATTTAAAGGGTGTTGGCAATCGTTTGGGGGCACCATCCACAGAGATGGGAGCAGTACCCCATGCAAGGATGAACGGTGCACTTAAACAGATATAGTACAAGTTCAGGAGTGAGTTTTGTTTTAGTCTTAATTTCATTGACATCATGAGTACATGTATGTTCATGTTCATGTTCTATACAGACCTGGTTCTTGGATGCGGCCAGCGGTCTCGGTCCAGTGTCTCCATCAGCTCCATGGAGGATGATGCCGGCTTTGGACGATGTTCCAGAACCGGACTTCAATCCTGTGTAGACGGTCAGTAGGTAGAAGTTCTCGTCTGATTCCTTGTTGTCAGCGATGGGTAGAACTCCCCACTGCAGGGCATAAGATTAATACACTCAATTTCAGAGAAAAAATCTCGCCTCTAGCGCAATTGGAGGCAACCCGAATCGTTTGGTCTTCATCGACCCAAGTCGGGTCAAAGTTCGTCGGAAGTAAGTACCGTCCACCGTCCCGTTTTTCTTTTAACGGTGTCGCTCAATGCAAGGCCAATTATTTTCGGCCACTTCTAGGCATAGAGCTAGAGGTACTAAAGTGAGTATATTGTAGTTATGTCAGGAGATGGCGGTGGACCTTTGTTTTGAAGCTTTGTGGATTGTAGTCGGACGGAAAGCAACTGTTTGGAAGAGAGTTCCACAATTTTGCAGTCCGGGGAAAGAAGCTGTTGTTGTAAAATGACTTGGAGACAGGTATGTTAACGGTGTATTGATGAGAACTGAAAGAGAACCCTGTGGCACGCTGAAAGGTTCTGAGCGGCGGAACAAGAAGTGCAAGTTCTCCTGAACATCGACCGTGAAAGTATCTGTAAAATGGATCGGTAAAACGGTTGGATCAGAAAGCTGATAAAGATCGAACGATTGGGTCGAAAATTCGGTGCGTAAATGTCTGTGAGTCGGAGATCAGTTTAATTCTCATCATGTACCGAAGAACTCAGATGAACTTTTGTCGTGCTACCACACAGGTATTGTGATATTCTTTTTGTGCCATTTTTGCTGTGCCAGTTTTGGGGATTGGATCTTCAGAAGTAGCCAACAGTAGTTGGTTCTTTCAATTCCTTGTACAAGGTTATCAGGAAGTACCAAAAATGAAGTCAAGAGCTATTTATTAATTTATTTAATCTCAGGACGGCTGGGTGGCCCCATTCAGCCCACAATAGCTGTTTTCCAAGGGGGACCAGCTTGTTACAAGACAAGGTTACATACAGAAAAATTAAAGCCGAATGCGTCGAAAACAAAATCCATGATCACAATCCAATACTCAAGGTCCTAGCCGTTCCATGGTCAAAACACTAATATTCGGAGTGGAGGTCAGGTTTCATACAACATACGTTTCAAGGCTGCTTTAAACTGCGATGGAGTTGGTACACGTCATAGTTCAGCTGGTAGTACATTGTAGTAAGTTGTGCCTCTGAATGCAAACGTACCATGACCAGCTGTGGAAGTGTAATTGGGTTTGTGGAGTAGAGAGGTATTTCTGGTATTGTAGTTGTGTAACCTGTGGTTGTGCACAGATTTATGTGGCTATATTGTTCTATGTTAAGTATTAGGATGTAAAAACCTTTTTTACCTTGACTCTATCTCGCTTGTCCGCCTTGAAGACAAACAAGACGATGATGAAGTAAATGCCGAACATGACGATGACAGTGGAGAACACGGCTGCGTTGTCACTCAGGTTGGCGAACTTTGCAAACACCGTGCTGAAGTCGATAGAGTTGGGCGGTACGATGAAGTCCGAACCAAACGCTGTCAGATGAGTAGTCAGGCACTGGGTGTATCTTGCTGTAGTGTTCGGACCAATCTGTCAATTGCAATCGACACAGCCATTAGATAAGGTAAAACATATATCGTCATATTTGTGTATGTATATCTATATCTAGCAGTCTTCTTCGATGATGAAGGACTACCAAGCGTATCTATATCTACTTCTTTTTATCTATCTACATCTCTATATATACTAGTACATAAATATATGGAAAGAGAGTGGATAGATATGGATAGAGAAAGTGAGAGAGAGAGAGAGAGAGAGAGAGATCAAGTAACGAAGCCTTTACGCATGCTTGAATATCGGATTAGACAGAGCTGAGCTGTCTTATTGTGTTGATCTAAAGTATCAAACTTCACTATGGAATTTACCAACATAAATGAGCTTTTATGCTAATTCATAATTATCATAAATGAATCATATGGTGATTGGTAAGGAACACACCTATGAGAACTTTATTGACACAACAAAAGTTCAGCGACTTTCGTAAGGTCTAAGACATGTAGATATACAGACAACTATACATGGGTACGAAATTATCCTACATACAAAACAATAGATGGGTCAACTAATACTACTTGTTCCAAGGTCTAAACATTCTTTGATATATTTACCTATTTGTACACAGTAAGTGTTATTGCCTTCTAGGAAATTAAATTTATCTATAGCATGAAATGTAACAAATTCAGTTGAGCAGGCGGAGAGAAGGTTGAACAGCTTTGTGCGTTTATCGTTATATAGTGTACAATTCAAAATAAAATGTTGTTCGTCTTCAATATCATTGGCACAGAATGGACAGAACCGAGGGATTTTTTTTACGTCTTCCTAATTCTATATTCAATCTATGGCTAGAAATTCTCATCTTTGTAATCGATCTACGAACTTCAAAATTATGTATCTCAGAAAAGTAATTTTCAGAATCTCACCGTACACCCTGACGGGTCCCACTGCCCGGGGGTGTGTTCCCCCTGGTCCCACCAGGTGCACCTTGGCGTCATGATGGCCAAACTGTACGTCTCGTTCTCAAGTGCCTCCCTCAGCCTGGCTTTCACATCTGCCATAGAGACGCCCGGAACGTCCCTGCAGACCGCTGATCCTATGAGATGCAGGCAACATTATTCTGTACGTCAGCATGGAAGTTTATCTGAGTTGGTAAATTATATGATGAAAAATTTAAACTGTTCTCCAACTCATACATTTCACTCACCGGAATTTTCGACTGAATTTCCTCAACTATCCGACCCAAATGCTGTAGACATGTGATTTTTCCCAGATAGCTGAGGAAGACTGAGTAGTGATTCAGTCGAAAATTCCGGTGAGTTAAATTTATGAGTTGGAGAACAGTTTTAGAGTTTTCATAACATTATTCTATACGTGTCCTGACGAGCTCGTTCACATTCACTGCATGATCGTCGTATGATCACAAAACGGGGACAGCGTGCATGCGTTTGCTACAGTCCTTTGTCAGTCTACAGAAAAGGCTGTCTGGTTAGATCCCACTGCACGAAAAAGATGGATTTAGTGATAACTGCCAGTAAAGTCGAGTAATGTTTACTTTGTGAACAGTGCTGGAATTAACATTTTTAATAAACGAAATTACCGGATTTGACTCTCATTAACCACTATCATTAAGGTTGGCACTGTTTGCAAAGTATTTTGCCTCCCTGAAATTGCATTGGATGTCTTTTTCTAAACGCACCTAGTTCCTTCACCCCAATGTAGTAGGTTCCGTTGACTTCCGGATACAGCCAGGGAAACAAATCTGTGACGTCACGACCGGACAGCTCAGGCCCGCTGACGTCACATGCTCTCTCCAGAGGTGGTATGGTGGTGGTGAAGTTGTAGTGATCTGGTGTTGGTGGCTCATTGTACTGCATGTAGACCTGGTACGCTGTTGAGTATAAAAGAAAAGATTCAATACGAAGTGCTACATTCTATTAAGCAATGCATCGTCAATGCAAACATTAACGTATACAGATGATAGTATTGGTGAAAGATTGAATCAAATTATCTTGCCATTATGTTTTTATGGGAATTTTGCATTACCATAATCCTTTACAACGCTTACGTCGAGAAAAGAAATGACACTAGCTTCAAACTGATTACATCGGATAACGTTAAGTCTTTTATCCGAACACGAAACTGTTGTTTTGGGTGACTGAGTTGTGGCTTTGCATCTCTGTTTGTCCTACCTAATACCTTCGTTTGCCTTGTGGGTGGGAGGTGATTTTGCCAGTTGATAAGAAGGACGATTAAATCCGATTAAAATATATCATACATTGACGAAAACCCCAAACACTTCCGATATGTCTTTGAGTCACGAAAATCCCAAACACTTCCCGAAAGTTCCTTGGTTTGTTACTCTATGAAAAAAGAGGTCGGAGATCTCAGACCTCCATGAAATATTTAGATCTTGTGTAATGGTGACCGTTTCCTCTTCTCATTCACCATTATGTCTACATTTGTAAATGTCTTTCTTTCAAGGTAAACACCATCTGTCAGCTGTCAAGAAGGTCATGTAACGAAAAATATCTGTGAAAACAGCGAGCGCAACCAAACAGCAACCATATCCATTAAAACATGACCTAAGGCCACAGCAAGTAAATTTTATGGATGACATCAGCGCGTGCATTAATTTTCGTCTGATTTTGGAAAAAAAAAACAAATTTTGTTGCCTTCTGACAGTGGTCAACATGCCGAAAATGGGCAAAAATGTCTGTTGTCATGCTGGAAGGTGGATGGCAGATAACTATGAAGAGAGGATCGAGACAAGAAAAGGCTCTGATTTAATGTTTTGTTTCTTACTTTGATGCAGTGATATGTGATGCTGACTGTGTATATGTGATGTTCCCACTGAATAAAAACCATTTGTACAATGATTGAGTCAAAATTTTAAATTGTAGGAGCCTTGTTTTTTTCGGCCCGCCTTGTTTTTTTTTCGCCCGCTCGCATTAGATTTGGAGTCTGCGGAGGATGTCATCCATAAAATTTACTTGCTGTGGCCTAAGGGCCATTGGGGAAACACACACACCCACACACGCGCACACAGACATACGAAAAAAAAATACCTCAATTTTTCAAAACGTTAATAATGTTGAACCTGTCTACATACCTATGACATGTGGAGGCGGCACCAGCATGAGTAATATGGGTGACGGCACGGTGCCGGAGCCGGTGGGTATCTTGTGGTACGACAACCCGTTACCAGCCACAACGGAGTCGTTCATGAACACTACTTCTGGAAATCCAGGCTCGTCGTAGTTTTTCACGTAAAACTTAGCAACAAAATAGAATAGCCTCGTCACAAAGTGTACAATCCATTGATTGATTGATTGATTGATTGATCAATCGATCGATCGATCGATCGTTCGATCGATCGATCGTTCGATCGATTGATTGGTTGATTGATTGATTGATCGATCTATCGATCGATCGATCGATCGATTGATTGATAGATAATGTGATGAAAGAACTGAAAAAAGTTGACATGACAAAGACCCGTAAGTGCCAATGTTATGTAAGAGGATAAGGTACAATGTAGTTCCTATGATAAGACAATATAAAAGAAATCCCTCGAAATCCGGAAGTATTATAACCTCCGTAATTTGTCTTGTAGCAGAGTTTGAATTGTTTTTGACGATTGTTTGCCTGCATGTCTAACCTTCATCAAAGTATTCAAAACCCCATGTATGATCTCATTTCATTATGACACTTATCATCTATATCGATGGATAAAACAACTGGACAACAATGAGAGTGTACGTGCAATTCAGACTCGACCTGCTGAGAACACAAAGTTTGTAGTCGTCTTCATGCTTAGTCTATACCCACACGTGTACAAATCCATGTTTTAACAAAGCAAGTTTTCAAAAAAAGGAACATTTGTGTCCATAATATCACCAGGGTCCATAATATCGCCACCTTGAGAAACAGTGTGCTTAAAGATATTTTAACTGCAACATACCCTAGGTATGTACATTTCATGTGTGAAGGAGTGCATACCAAAAGTATGTTGCAGTAAAAATATCTTTAAGCACACTGTTTCTCAAGGTGGCGATATTATGGACCCTGGTGATATTATGGACACAGATGTTACATAATGTACAAATTAGCAACATTTACCACGAGAGGTTCTGACGTGTCCTTCACGTCGACCCGTTCACCATTGTCTTCGAAAAAGTCCAAGGAAAGGACGGCTGACCGAACCTGGTCGCCCTGGTTCCAAAGGAATGGGTTCCGGGGAAAGGCCATAAACTAGAAAAAAAGGATATATTTGACCCAGTGTTGACGTCACACTTCAGAGAAGCCACGTGAGAAGTCTCTCTGGGTCCAACTACTGTAAAAAAACCAGGGTGACTGGTCTAAAGCTCTAGGTGAGAACAATCTTTGTGTTGGAACAAAAGTTTTAACTTTAAATTTGAACAGTCATGTAACTACCAACACAGATGAAATTTAATGTTAGCAGAAAAATAAGGGTTCACATATAGACAGAAGTACAACCTACGTCATTAAGATGACGAGGGTTCGCCGACCAAAAGCCGGTATCGAAGAAATAAAAAAAAAAACGTCTGGCGGTTTTTGCTCTACTACCTCCATACCAAAATTGTCATGTCATTTGGTCCAAAAATTAAGAAATCCAATCCATTTAAATCCGTTACGTAAGCATCAACGGATAGTTTTAACATACTTCATTGCTAACCTTCGAATTCACGACAGCAATTGAAGACTCATTCCCGAAGACTGCGGCTTGATCTGGCAAGGACACAGAGCCTTCGACCCTTTCGCTGGTGAAGTTGGCCTCGTGGAGACGTTCTACGCTCTGTCTTTGATAGTAGACGGTTGTAGGAGCTGACTCAAAGACGATGGGCGGTGAGTCGGGCAGGGTTGCTGACAGCAGCACGCGCGTCAAGGTATCGGTCGTGGTAAGAAGTAAAGTCACCACATCTTTCAACTGTTGGTATTAAGGGTTTGTGGATAACAAATGGTTGTAATTGACACCTACAATATCTACAACAAGTAAAATCTGAGATTTTATATCTCCGGGCTTTTTATTGTATGTTTTTATATGGTTTGCTATGTATAGTTGATGCTGTTGAATTTTATGTGTTAGAGAAGATGCATGTGCCCAACAACAATTGTTGCGTGCCGCAGGACTAGGTGTTTAAACAAAGAATTTATCGAGACCGGACACCCCTCTTTGCGAGGGGTCATATACGTGGACCAGACCGTGAATAACTTAAACACGCCAAAGGTCAACGGTCGCGACCATTTTCACGCTCAAAGGGGTGTTCTGGGACTACCAAAAGGCACCATTTTCACGCCCGAAAACACATATACAATAAAAACAAAAGAACGTGCATCATCTACAGCCCAATAGCAAAACATACACCGAGTTCCAAAAAAAAATCCGTCCACCCAAACGCGAGAAACAGCTGCGAACATGACAATCTAAATCTCTCACAAAACCCTTCCGCGGAAGGATGTCTCCTCACCCGGAGGTAATAACTATCTATATTCCATAGCTGGTCTAACCAAGCGCCTAACAGGCTTCGAAAGACTTTTTTCCTAAGTCAATATTTAAGTCACTTATCCACATACTAAGTTGAAACAACACTTAGTCTATCTCAATGTATATCAACGTTCGCAGGAGCAAAAATTGTGAAGGAAACCGTTTACTGGTAGCTAAAAGGATAACTGACTTATCTTTTGAGGTAACACCAAGAAAATATTTGGGACTCATATGGGGCTTGTTTCTGCGCAAATGTGGGGCAGCATCTTGTGTCAGTATCATACATGTTTGCTGGAAACTCATTTAGTGTATTTCCAGTTTTGCCGTTAAGAAATTGCACTGGGTACCTTTGAGATGACATGCTCAACTAGATAATACATATTTTAAAAGTAAACAGGCGTTACATTGCTATCGTTTATTCTAACAACCTTCAAACCACTACATTAAGATGGTGTCTAAATCTTACGTTTTCCATCCAGTCGATGGCAGAAGACGTAAAAGAAATCCCGTTTTCGTCTAAGACATTGCCTGATACAAATCCGAGTCCATTTTGGATATCTAAAAGAGCAACGAGAATCTTTATTGATTTTAGCAAAGCAGGTAAGACATGACATAAAGAACAGCAAATCATGACTATGATGCTACATTGTATATTGAAAGTTTATCTGTGTTCAACTTTCGACCAGTCACTCTGGTCTCTTCAATAGACCAAGGACATTATACACTTGTATCATGTCTCTGAATAGACTGACCAATTGGGACATGTCACGTGGCTTCTCTGAAGTGTGACGTCACACGTCACACTTGGTCAAAGGTCACTCAACCGCGACGGGACCAACATCGCTTACCAGATACTTTTGACCCCCAGTGTGACGTCACACTTTCGAGTAGACACGTGACAAGTCTCAATGGGTCAGTCTATTGAAGAAGATTATAGAGTGACTGGTCGAAAGCTCTAGGTAAGAACAATCCTTTTTGTTTTAAATCTAAACATACCAATAATGGTGAAAAAATAGGAACTATGATCTTTGAGAAGTTGAACTATGCATAAAAGTTGCTGTGCAAATGAAGCAGATACAGACTTATTGCAATCTGTAAGACTTGTTCATCATCCACTCGCCGTCCCAGGGTTTGTGCCGACAGCTGGAGGGTGTCAGACGCCTCGTGCAGCGCTTTTACCGCAGAGACCTATTCCCGAAAATAGTTTCATCAGGTGGTAAAGTATATATAGGATACATGCGCTTTCTTTTACACCACCAAGATAGAGTAACCTTGCTTACGTTTCAATGTCTATCAGCCACCTTCCTCGGAGCTTCTGACTGGAGTTCTGCTTCTCGCCGCTACATAGCCGAAGCAGGCTGGATTAGAAAGTCGAACCCAGTGATGAACCGGGACGAGGGGGGATACAAACCCAGCCACGTTTGGGATTGTGTTCTCGCCGCAAAAGCGCCACCTACATCGACTGCATATAGCGGCGAGAAGCAGAACTCCCGTCAGAAGCTCTTAGAAAGATGACTGATAGAACGTAAACAAGGTTAGTCTTTCTTGGTGGGGTAAAATAAAACTCCTGTATCGGCAGAGACCCAAGTTTCATAAAATGCATTTATGATGTTAGATGGAAAGATATATACTTTAAAGCGAAATTGATTATTTGTACAATTTTTTTCATAAAAAGAAACAAAAATACAAAGGAAAAGACAAAGTGGCGGCCTACTTAAGTTGTGCCAACTTATATTCTAGCCTCCACTTGTAAATTGAAAATGAAATGTTTGACAAGTCACTAAAAACAATACACATAAAAGCAATAATAATCATCTTTGATGAACGTGAGTCTTAGAGGGCATAAAATGTATCACATGCCTCGATGTCTAACCTTCATCGACGTTAGAATTGAATGAAAGGCCACAGCTAGTAAATTTTAACATCCTCCGCAGACTCCAAGTCTAATGCGATAGGGCGAAAAAAAAATAAGGCGGTCCCAAAAAAACAGGATTCCTACATTTTCAAATTTGACATCACAAACCCTGTTAAAGGAGAAATGATACCTATATTTTGCTAACTTTACTGCCAACTATAACAACATCTGAAACAACTTTCAAAAATGATAGTACGAATCATTGTAGGAATGGTTTTGATTCAGTCAAAACAATACATTAGAGCATTGTATTGTCTCCTCTCTTCATGTTTATATGCCATCCACGTTCCTGCATGGCAAGGCAAGCAATTGTGCACATTTTCTGCATTTTGGCCACTGTCAGAGGACAACAAAATTTCTGGAGTTTTTTTTCCAAAATCAGGCGAAAATCAATGCGCGCGCTGATGTCATATATATAAAAATTACTTGGCTGTGGCCTAAGTAGAGCTTTTGTGCACTACTGTTTAAAATTACCTGCTTCTCGATGTAAACAAATTCTCCTGTGCCCAACAGTTTGGTTACACCGTTTGTAGCTTGATGAAGTCTAGTCATGTCGTCTACTACAGTCATCCTTGCCGACAGAATGTCAATAAGCGTGGACCTCACAAACAGCTGCAACTGTTGGTGAAAAAGACGTAGCAAGATCATTTGTCAATATGTTTGGCAAAGCTCATGACATAAATATATCTTTACATGTAATGATCCCCACAACGCAAAAATAGGTAGATATAAAGGAATTCATAATGTAATTTACCAACTCAGATGAACTTTCATGCTGATATAAAGGAATGCTTTGTTTTTAGAAAAAATTCCGAAACTTGTGATTAGCCCACTCGATTGTAACACTTCATCAAAGACTTCTGCTATCCCTTATTATTTGAATAATTATGATGTAGATTGGTTAGGTTTTATTTGACATTAGGTCTTGTTCAACACACTTATTTTATTGTTGTTACTCTCTTTATGTAGTTTGTCATACATTGTACCATGTGCAATTGTCGTTCAATAAAGTTCTTATCTTATCTTTATCTTATATCATCGATTAACTATCCTCGCCATACTGTTATAAATTGTGACCCAGTCGTCCGTGGGATTTCTAGACATGCATCCTGAGATGAACACAAACTCTCAACAAGAATTCCCTAGATCTCGGACCTGCTTTAAATATTAAATCTTCTCATTCACCATGGTATCTAAAAGTCATCACTTTTTAGGAAGGGTCGAAAACCTTGACAAAGGCTGTCAAGGAGGTCATGTAACAGCTAACGCCTGTGAAAGCAGCGATCGTATGCTGACCTGAGATGTAGAAATGATTCATGACTTTCTCACTCTGCGACAAACTGAACCCAACCGTATCCATTACAACCTGCGAAAACACACACACACACACACACACACACACACACACACACACACATACACACACACACACACTCAATCACCCACTCACACAGACCGACAGAGAGAGAGAGCAAAAACGACACCTCCATTTTTCATTGAGGTAATTACTCACTGCGGAACAGGCGCAAAAAAAATTCGAATGCAACCGGCTACCTTTAAGTCATCTGGTCCCACAGGTGATTGCAGCATGTTGACAAGGTCATCTGTGCTGGACGCTGAAGGCCAGTCTGCCCCAAAAATGTACCCAGACGCCGGTGGTGGTCCCGTCGGGCCGGGGTAGAAAGCGGAGTAGTTCAGGGCCTGCTCCAGGAGCGCTCCGTAACCTTGGTTCGTTAGCGTTTGAGCTGGGTCTGGGTCCTAAAGAAGAGAGGAACACTCGAAGTTTTCAGGTAACATCCGTGTCCCGATCAACAGGGTCCATAATATCGCCACCTTGAGAAACAGTGTGCTTAAAGATATTTTTACTGCAACATACTTTTGGTATGCTCTTTTGCACACCTCAAATGTACATACCTAGGGTAAGTTGCAGTAAAAATATCTTTAAGCACACTATTTCTCAAGGTGGCGATATTATGGACCCTGGTGATATTATGGACACAGATGTTACTAGATTTCATGGAAGTATTCTTCCAACTCAAAAGTGATTATACGTTAATTGCCTCAGCGCCACTGTGACAAATGGTGAAGTCTAGGAAAATATACCAGGTGTGCCAGAGTATACAGTGCAATTTTACGGAATACAGTGCAATTTTACTAGTATACAGTGCAATTTTACGGAATACAGTGCAATCGTATTAGTATATATATATATATATATATATATATATATATATACAATGGTGAAGTCTAGGAAAATATACCAGGTGTGCCAGAGTATACAGTGCAATTTTACGGAATACAGTGCAATTTTACTAGTATACAGTTCAACTTTACGGAATACAGTGCAATTTTACGGAATACAGTGCAATTTTACTAATGACGTTGAATCACGTGACTTGGACCCTGCTTTCCTTGAGTTTCAAGATGGCGGACGCCACTGACTCACATATTTCTGTATTTTTCGAGCGAATTCGAAATGATCCCTGTGCAGTAACATGCCCTGTATGTGGTATGTAGTGATTTGAATAAAGATCTATCTACAAGAACGGTCCAAATTCGCTCGAAAAACACAGAAATATGTGGGTACGCCCCGTCAGCGTCGTCCCTGGAAAGCCGGGCCCAGGTTACGTCATTCAACGTCATTAGTAAAATTGCACTGTATTCCGTAAAAATGCACTGTATACTAATACGATTGCACTGTATTCCGTAAAGATGCACTGTATACCAATACGATTGCACTGTATTCCGTAAAATTGCACTGTATACTAATACGATTGCACTGTATTCCGTAAAGATGCACTGTATACTAATACGATTGCACTGTATTCCGTAAAATTGCACTGTATACTAATACGATTGCACTGTATTTCGTAAAATTGCACTGTATACTAGTAAACATGCACTGTATTCCGTAAAATTGCACTGTATACTCTGACCCCCCTGTATACTGTGTTTCCTGTTTCAGCCCTGAAAAAAATTGGGTCTCTATGTAGGTAGGGATTTTCTTTTTTTCTAGACTTTGGTGAGCTCTAATAATCCAATACAATACAGCTTAACAAATCAAAACTTGTATGAGAAAATTCAATTAAACTGGAAGTCTAGAATTAAACCGGAGGCTGTTACGAGTACTTACCGGTGACATGACTAAGTCAAGGAGTTCGGCAATGTTTGATGCTAGCAGGAAGGAGGTGGAATAGTCGCTGATTTCAGCCTTGTAACTCAAGGACAAAATCAACTTCCACAGCTGTAGTGCGTCTTTTAGAGGCGGCAAAACCTAGGAACAACACACAATCAGACAATTTAGTTTACATCAACGTAATTTAGTTCTTAGCTCTGCCTGTACCTGTGGGTCTAAATGCGAAGACATTGTACATTTCCTTTTGCACTGCCCTGTATACAACTTGTATACAACTTGCAAAGTGACCCTTCTCAGCAACCTACAGAGCCTAGTAGACTCTACTTTTGACTTGCGCAACTTGTCTGACCAAGCCAGTATTAATCTTTTACTGAGGGGTTCGCCCCTTTTACGTCTTGAAGTCAACAGAAAAAATTCTGATTCTTACTCAAACCTTTATACTTAATACCCAACGATTTACAGTTGCCTAATGATTTATATTGCCGTTACTCTTGTATATACCAACGCTCATTTGTTGTTTTTGTCATTGTCATACCTGTATTTTGTATTCTATGTCAGTGGTGGTGTGATTAATATTAGCTTCGGCTAGAGTTTCCACCTCTGTGTCTTGTACTATGTCTTGTACTTTGTTGTTTTAATAAATAAAAAAAAATCAGACAATGTTTCGCTTCTTTATTTAATTCAACAGGTTTATGTCAAGAATTTTTTTGGGTAAAATTCAGTAATTTCGGTTTTAACAATAAACTTTTCAGGCTTTACATGAAATTACACTTGCCAATTTGAATAACATTTTACGTAACTATGTGTAATTTCTATCAATAAAATTTATAGTTATTATAATAATTATTCTAATTTGATGACAAAAAAGCTCAGGAGTTTCCGGGTTAATTGAAGTTTCATCACTACTTCGTATTTTTTTACCTAGACGTTCATATAAATGTCTTCAGTCCATTTACATTGTATTCTTTAGGCTATATCTTGAAAAGGGGTATTTTCAAAACGATTCACGACTGACGGTCCAAGATGGCGGATCACTTATTGTGCCATTTTATGACGCCATTTTTGACGTCGGTGTTGGTGCGGTGGGCAAGATAGCACACTTTATCATTCTATTATGCATGCATTTTGTTGCACATATACGTTAAGAGAATAACCGGTTTTAGCCAACGAATAGGTAGGGTTAAAACTCTATCTCGTACAGAATAATATTCTAAAACTGTTCTCAGGATATGAATGTAAGTCACTAGTACGTCGGTGAAGGTTAGACATCCTGGTAATAAGATACGCCAAAAGCAGTTACTCAAGCAGCTGGATATGATTTTGGTTTTGGAAACGGTCAGACGTTTCAGGTAGCATCCACTACCTTTCGTCATTGACACTTAATAGTGAACTATATAGTTCGTTCTTATAAACCTGCATTCCTCCTCTGGCCTCTTGGTGTCAATGACGAAAGGTAGTGGATGCTACCTGAAACGTTTGACCGTTTCCAAAATCATATCCAGCTGCTTGAGTAACTCCTTTTTGCGTATGTCACTAGTACTTTATAGTTACGGCCATTCCATGGTTTGTACCATATGGCCAGATCCGAAATAGTTGGGATTGTTCATGTATATGCATGTCACGTACGTCATACAAGGCAATGATATGAGAAAAATAATTGTAGCTATACTTTTACTAGTTTTGTACAAAGTACAATGTACATGTACTAGAGAGTACTACAACAATAGTAATAAAGAAAGGCTAACATCAGGTCTAAGGTATACAATGCTAAAAAAGAAATATATGCTA